GCGCGGTAGGCCATGCAGGTGATAGGCAGTGGTAGGTCTCAGGTAGTGGCAGTTACATGTCTTGCGTTTGTGCCTTTTTGCCTCCCTGCCTCCCACTTTGCTGCTGCCGAGGCTTGGACATTCCATGGCAGATGGGGGCAGCGCGATGATCGTTGAGGACACCGGGGTTGTTAGTGCTGAAGCCATAAATTTAAGTGCTGGGGCTTGAGACTTGCTTTTGATTGATCCCTGAAGCCCCAGACCCGAACAGAGAGACCTCGTCCTCGTCCTCGTCAGGCAGTGTTCGGAGTATTGATGATGGGTTGGGTTTCTGGTATTTTGTATATTAAATTTTATTAAATACCCCTAGGCTTCTGATTCTGGGTTTCCACAAACCCCTCTGTAAGTTCAGGGTGTCAGAATTCGGGGGAGGGGTGCTGCAGTTACTGCAGTTGCCTGACATGAGCTGAGTGGAGTCTGACTTGAGTCATCCATGCAGAGCGGAGCGGCTGCTCAAGCACATGCTCACATGCATGGGTTCATGGATGACAGAGGATTTAACCCCGGCCACCCTCACCCTCGGGGACTTTGACCTTGGTCACTCACACTCACTCACTCACTCACTGTCACTCACTCTCGCTCACTCACTGTCTCACTCACTCACTCACTCACTCACCCACCCACAGCTTACTCAACGGTTGTAGTCGAGATCCTTGCGCCTTGTTCCGATGGCGTTTCATCCTCGGCGTCCCCGTGGAGGACGGCAGGCGCACCAGCGCCAGTTTGGCGATGCTTTCCGGCCTCCGGTATCGTGGCCGATCATTACATTGGGGATGACATCTAGTTTAAGTATCAATCAACACAATCATTAATCGATGGTTGTATTGATTGGCAAATCAGGCAGTGATTGCCCCGCGGCTTGGACAGCCGGAGGTGGCGCCTTTTGTTCCTCAGCATGCTGCCGTCATTCCTCCAAGATTTCCAGCTGTGCCACTGCGAGAGGAGGCTCCGACTCCGGTCGTTGAGCAGGCTGAGCTCCTCGAGACGGAGACGGTCCCGGCGGCGGCGGCGGAGGATGAGCTGGTTGCGCCACTGCTGGAGCCAGAGGAGATTCCTGGTGCGCCGGCTCGTGCTGAGGACGAGACTGTCACTGGGCCGTCTCGCTTGCCTTTTATAAGTCTGGTAATTAAGTTTAGTTAAAACGATGAGGTCGGAATAACCAGACTCAGGTGGAGCCTCTGCATGTGGACTTCATCGCCATCTCGAGCTACATGGGCTTTATAAATCCTGCGATGGATCCCAAGGTAAAGGAGCACAGAGGCTGGCGAGTGTCGACGATTGGAACTGAGAAGCTGTATTATCACTGGGATGCTCGCTGCGTTGCCGCCACAAAGATTCCATTGCAGTTTTTGGATGCTGCTCACTTTAATGTGAAATGGGGTTGGTTTGCTTGTAGCTTTTTGGTGGGTGGTTGGGGTTTGTGGTTTGGGTTGGGCTTCACGATTTTGATCTGACCACTCAGTTCGATGCTGCCGAGCCGGATGGTCACGACTGCGTTCAGGCGAGGGGGTACAAGCTCTGGAGTGTGTACCTTTCCTCGTGCCACTTCTGGTTTAATGATTCTGAGATGAGGGCTCTTCCTTTCTCGGCTTTCGCCACCTTGCTGCCTTTGCATTTTTTTACGGGGTTTGGTTTAGGAGTTTAGGGTTTTGGTTGAGGGTTTAGGTTCAGGGTCTAGGTTTAGCCTCGGGGTAGGGGCCTAAGGGTTTTGGTTTAGGGTGTAAGGTTTTAGATTGAATCGGCCATCAATCAGGAAGCCGAGTTCGCAGCGCGGGCCGAGGAGGTGGTGAGGGCACGCATCAAGAGGCGGCGCTGCTAAAAAGTGGGATCCTGCATGCTGCCTGCTTCTTGCACTTTTGTTGCGACTCATGTTGGGCAATGATTCTGCACTGCATTTTCCCTCCAGGACCTGGCCTTCATTATGACCCTTCTTTCGGCCGCTGCCTTGGAGTGTTATCACACAGGCTGTGCAGCTGTGCTCGGCATGTCTGATTTGTGATCATCGCTTGCATTCTTGATTGACATCCGTGGCATTGACTGAGCATGGGTCGCTTCATTGCTAAGTATTGCTTTCGTAGTACCCATGATCTGCTGATTTGATCGTTTCGTTGGATTGAGATGCCCAGGTCAGCTTCTTCGGCGTCGGCACCACCGGGCCGCCGGCATCGGTGTGGCGCCAACACTTCGCTTGTTGTTCGGTTTGGGTTCGGGTTCGGGCTCGGGGCTTCAATTTCGCTTCGTTCTGAGTAAAGATGCCTGAGGATTTTTTGACAGTCGCGATCGAAGCTACAATACCTTCCGAGTTCAGCACGGAAAGCAGTATTCGATTTTATGCGGCACTGCAAAACTTCTTGAAGCTTGCACCTTTGTGCTGAAGCCTGATTGGCTGTGTCTCGTCGTCTGAGGCGCAGGCCCGCTTGCCACTCGACTTCGGGGGCAGGGCACCCAGCCTTAGGATCCACCTGCGTGGTGTTTTCGGTTTGCATTTGGATCAATCTGGGGCTTCTTGTCTTGTCGGTATCTGCAAGTCTTTGCGATTACGGGCTTGCGAATCTAATCTGCTTGGGTTTCTCACAACTCCCCGTTGCTGCCGCTGAGCTGTCACAACCCACCTCATGCTTCAATGTTTCGAAAATCTTGGCCATCTTCTAAACCCTTTAAGACCTCAACAACTCCTAATGAATTCGGAAGAGGGCATTATCAACCCCTCAAGGGAAAGGAACTCCATTAATGCCAAGGAGGTATGTTCATCTGCTCAGTTGAGGCCAAGGGTGCTGGATTTCGCAGTTTCTGGATCGTCAAACACTATTATAAGACAAAACAAGATCAGATAAGATAAGATAGTATACTACAATACCCCAAATAAGAACTAACAGGGCCTACAGACCTTTCAGGAACAGCGACGTTGGATGTTGGGTTTCTTTGGGCCTTGGGGTCCGATCCGATTTCCCAAAGCCACATACGACACTTTCTGAGAGATCTGTGAGTCTGTGAAGCCTCTGAAACTCTGCAGCCCCCCGCCTCTGGAAACTCTGCAGCCCTGAGGATTCGATCTCTTGCGCCAGACGTTGATCTTGGCACTTCTTCAGCGCCCCTCTCAGTACTTCTTCAGCACTCGTGGTACTTCATTCACTATTGCTTCGTACTTGACAACAATAAATTATTGTACTTTGTGGTTTGTTTATTTCGGTGTTTGTGTCGTACCATACATGTCTCTCAGGAACCATTTGACATTTCTGGGTTTCGGTCTCGGCTTACTCCTTTCAGGGTTTCGGGCTCTGTTTATTCCTTTCAGCGTTTGTCCTTCTAGGGCTTCGGCCTGGGTTTACTCCGTTTTAGGGTTTCGGGCTCCGTTTGCTCCTTTCAGGGACCGGGCCTTCTTATTTTAATGTTTCGGCTTCGGTCTGGGCTTGAGGTTTCAAAGTTTCGGTTTTTTTCAAGCAGACCTTTCACTTCTCCCGGGGTATCGGGGTCGGTGTATTTCACCTTGTTTCACTGGGGTTTCGGTTTGGGCTTACTCTTTTTTAGGGCTTCGGCCTGGGTTTCAGGGTTTCGCAAGCTTACCTTTCGCTTCTTTCAAGGTATCCGGGTCGGTTTACTCCACTTTCATTACGGTTTCGGTCTGGGTTTGCTCCTTCTAGGGCTTCGGCATTTGGGTTTACTCCTTTTAAGGTTCCGGTCAATAATCGTTAAGCAGGTTGGAGCAAGTGCAGGCAATGGCAATTTTCGGAAACAGGTGGCTGCTTCAAGAAGAGTAACACAAACAACAACAACAACAGCAACAACAACAGCAACAACAACAACAACAACTTCCTTCCTTTGCTGCTGCTACTTGCTGGGCTGCTTCCGACTTCCTGGTGCTGTGGCTCACAGGTTGTTTTACATTCAAGTTCGATTCAGATGATCAGATGGGTGTCAATGGGTGTGATCCGGGTGCAAGGATGCTGTGCTGATTCCATAATCAGTAATTATCGATCACTGACTGAGAGCAATAAAGATGATTCCGGTTCCAGTAGCAATACCAATACGGTTTGCTGGCCGCGAAGAGGGCCTGAGCTACAGTAACTGTAATCTACTACGACGTACGACTACTGCGACTACGAACTACGACTACGACGACTAGGCTAGGACTACTTGCCTGCCCGCCCCATCGGGGCCCCATCGTCATTCATGGCGCAGCAATCTTCGGAATCTCAGTGGCTGGAGCGGCTGCCGATGCTCACATGGACCACTGGGTGGCCCAGGCTTGGCTTCGACCTCGTGTTTTGGCTTGGCTTGGTAAGGCTTCCTGGAATACTTTCTCATAACCAAATCTCTACCCTCAACCCTGAATGTCAACAGAGACTAGAGACTAGAGATCCCTTTCAAATTTCAATTCAGGTCCTCGTCGCGTACGGCGTCGAGTACAAGTATGGGGACCGAGGCAAAGGAAAGGCGTTCATGATGGGGCACTTGAAATTGCGCTACCCTTCGGCGACGTTTCACCATTTGGATGTACGAGGGTCGGCGTTGTGGCCTTCGGACGTTGCTGAAGGCAGGTCGGGACGTTGCTACATGTACTACATGACTCATTTTTTGCAGCTCACAAAGCCTTACGTAACTTACGTAGGCCTTAGTAACCCCGAAAAAACCTTCAAACGATGCTTTTCCTTTTCCCTCAGATACACCGCGTGCCCATGGTTCGATCTTCGGCATCCTGAACGACTGCCCACAAGGCATGGGTCTTCGCACGTTGAGGCACGTCATGATGATGATCCTGAGCATGGCTCCGATGCTCAATACAGGTGATGAGGTGGTACTCGTTCTTTGCTGTTCCTTATTTTAATTTTAGCATGGTGTTTATTTGCTGTTTTGACTTCAGCTGGAATCTGGTGGAATACTGAAATCAACTTAAATCAACTCCAATTCTCCTCACCTCCACCTCAGGCTCAGCTGGAAAGCACAGGTCAGCTGCAATAGCCATGGTCCTGGCTGCTTTCTTCCATGTTCCGATCTACCTGCCCAGTCGCTTCGGATTGCAAAGCGATGCATCACTGGTGCGCATGCCGGAGCGCTGCACTCCGTGACTTGACCATGTCATTTTAATCGTGTTTGCTTTGCCTTCTGGTCTTCTGGTCACTGGTTACTAGTCAAGCTTCACAGCTTCGGTACCAACGACAGTACGTTGTTGGGCTGAGCTGCTGAGCTGCTGGGTGTTACTGGGTGACTGGGTGCTGGGTGTTCGGGCCAGGCTGGTGGAGAGTGCCTACAATGACGTCGTGCGGACGATGCAGAAGTACTGGGGTGCGAGTGCGGCTGCAGAGCCGGCAGTGGCAGCGTCGTCCTCGTCCTCGACCTCGGGCCTGGACGGCGCACCTAGACTTCCGAATTCAGAAGTGGCTGAGAGGATGAGTTCTTCGGAGTCGGAGTTAGTTCGCAGTCTTGAGGAATTGCCCTTGCCATGTCGACTGTCTCTTTGCTGTGACTGTGTCCCAGTCTCCAGTCTCAGGTCTTGGCAAGGATCCAGACTGAAGCCCCTCACATTTACGCGACGTTTTACCCCATGAAGCTGGACAATGATGCCTGGATGGCTGCATGGTTGCATTTTCTCATATTTTCAAACAGAGACTAACAGAAGCTATACCAGGCTGCACCTGCTGCCCAAAAGTGAATGGTTCATTCCTTTTGATAACTAAGTACATGTACTCGCTGCTCTTCCACTCCAAGAAGGGCTACGGCATGGCGTCAGAGCTCGTGGGCCCAGGTGGCTCTCAGAAGCATCTCCCGTGGGATCACAAAGCATCTCGTCCCACGATTATCATATATTTACAAGAACTTCAAGAACTTGGGATTTGGAATAATCTTCAAAGTTTCCCATACAGAACCCCCTCCCTAACCCTAACCATAAATAATTCCAATTCTTATTTAGGGGCTCTTGACTCTTCAAAACGAGAAAGATTCTGGAAGCTTGAGGACTACTGGAGGAATCCTAGCGCAGTGGTCGTCAAGCACTGCAGGGATGCCTTGGAGCTGCTGAAGCACAGCCACCTGCATGATCATATGATTGTCTTTTGGGTCTTTGGGTTGGATTAGTTTCGTTGTTGGGGTCGCAACTTGGTCAAGGTCGGGACAGTCGGGACACCCGCGGCGACGGCAGCCACCACAGAGAGCGCAGTCAGCGAAGGTAAGTTCTGTAAGTTGTGGCGGCGAGTCTTTTAGAGCCATTGGCTCTCGCCCTCGCCCTCGCCCTTGTATCTGACCGACGGCTCTCGCCATCGTCTTCCATGACTTCGCCCTCGCCCTCGCCCTCGGCGTGTGCAAAAAAGTTCGACTGAGTCCTTATGAGTCCTTCTTGGCTTGGGGGCTGTAGGCGTTCGTAAGTAAGCTACGTTTCTGTTGATGATCGAAACAACAGCGAAACCGCTATTATAGTCTCTTGTACTATGAATCTGACGACTGTCAGACCGTGTGGATTCGGGGTATTATTACGCACAGCTAGAATCAAATCTAAAGCTGAACCGGCCCAACCTCATCGACCCGGACCGCCCCTCCTGATCCAACCCCAGCCCCAAACATCATTGCCGGCCGACCTAACTTCTAATGACCTTGAAGCCTTCCATGTCCCGCTGCCCCAGGTCCAGGTTGTCTTCTCCGGCCTGTGACCCAATGCCACACTCTCAGGCTACTTACTGGTTACAGACTGCTTTATTGGTGTTTTGAGTGTGAGACACACACAGAGAGAGAGAGAGAGAGAGAGAGAGAGAGAGCGAGCGAGCGAGCAGATGCCCAAACAAACACGGACACGGCCGAGGTCCTTCACCTTTCGGTTCGTGGCAAGGGCAAGGGTGCTTCATCTTCATCATCCTTGGCCGGGGTGCCTGGATTCAGCCGGCCGACCTGGCTGATTGCAGTCACTCCAGTTTCTTTCCACAGATGTGACGTGCTGAGTCAGCTAGAGAGTCTGTCCCCGAAACACACGTATGTGGGTTGTGTCCCTGCTTTAGATATTCTTCACAGGTCCTCGACCTCGCCCTCGGTTTCTTCAGCGGCCACTGACACCACGATGCCGTCTGCCCCTGAGCTGGGCCGTGAAAGTTAATCCTGCACAGCCCTTGCGAGAAGTTCAGAAGTCGGAGCAGGTTTTCGTGAGGTGTTATGGGGTCGTAAAAGCCTTAAAAGCACCGCCCAAATCCTACACCACTTCTTTTTTTGGCCGCTTGCATTGCCTGGAGTTCAGGGGTTTACGATTCGGGGTCTAGGATTTTGGGTTTAGTTAGGATTGAGGGCTCAGAGTCGAGGCCTGTATGGTTTATTAAGGGTATTTCCAGTGAGCCGGCGGGTCCGGATTGTTTCCGAAGCAGGAGCTTACTAATTAGTAATGAGTTTCAATCCTCAACACGAAGGGGACGGAATGGCATCAAAAGCAAGCAAGCCGCAGCAGTGTGGAGCGGAGTGGAGTGGAGGTTTTTAGTTCTCCAGGTTTAGTTCAGGTGCTTCCAAGATTATTACCGGTTCCTGGTCATTCAAGGTTAGCTCTATGATCTAGGTCTAAGGAGGAAACAAGGAACCAAAATTAGAGGAGAAAATGCTCAAGAATTCAAGAATGCACGCATTTTCCCTTTTAATTTTGGGCCCTTGGTTCGTGTGTTGTGTGTTCTTGTGTTCTTTTGGGCCTTTTGTTGTCGCTCCGTTCGTCTCTCACTACATTGAAACAAAAAAGCGCAAACACACACAAGCAAAGAGCTGGTGTTTCGTTCGTGTGTGCTTTTAATGAAACAGGGCATAAGGAGTGCTTACCACGTGTCCAAAGATTTGGCCCTAGTTGAGCGTGTTCTCATGTCAAGAGCGAAACCGCTCTGTTATAGCTTGTACTATGATGGGGGCGAGTCTGTGGATATTTCTTCAAATGGCAAAGCCGGCACAGGCCACGATCTACAGCGACAATGAAGTCTTTAAGCTGAACCGATCCAACCTGATCGACCAAGACCCGAGGATGAGGACCCCTCGTGATCCAACCAACCTGGCCGACCTCACTGAAAAGCCCTCATTTCAATGACGCTGATACTTCAAGCTTTCATGTCATCTCCCGCTGCCAGGTTGTCTTTGTCTTGCTCAGCCTGCCTGGCTGGGCTGGGCCGGGGACCGAGGACCGAATGCAACACTCTCATGCAACGAACTCTCGAGCCTGCAGCAGATGTGTGATTTTGTCCTCGTGTGATCCGATGATTGTTTTGCTGCGGCGGGGTGGTGCAGTGCTCAAAGCCACTGGCTAGTATAGAAAACATCGCCCGGTATCTCGGTGTCAGGCTAGTGGCTACTGCTTTGGAGTTTTTCCGAGATTCGGAGATGCTGCTGGAGAGCCTCAGCAAGTGAGCAAGTGCCGACATACAGCCGAGGTCAGGTCCTTCAATTTCAGATAGATGCTATAGAGAGTGGCAAGTGCCGAAATGCTGCCGAGGTCCCTTAACTTCGTGCCGTGGCGAGTGTGCTTTCATGCTTGGCTGGGCCCGGCTGGCTGGGGGCCTGGCTTCAGCCGACCTGTGCTCACTTGACTCACTTGTGCCACGGTTCTTTGGAAAGTTGTCTGCACCGGCACCGATACGGTAGTACGACTAAGGTAGCCAGAGAAGAGAGAGGGAGAGAGACAGAGAGCAAAGATCTTGCTGCACTGCACAAGGTCATGGTTGTGACGCTGTTTGCAACTATTGTAACTATTGCAAGTTTGGCCCAAGTTGTAGAGTCAGAAAAAATTTCACAAGCCGGCCATGGTGCGATCCGCTAATCGGCTGCACCCAGTTGGACCAGTGACCAGTGTCAGACTCGTCAGATGTCAGAAGTTGCACTCACTATTTATTCTTTTCTGAGTCAGCGGTCAGCAACGAGGTTATGACTTGACTTGCTGTGATTGTTGTCTGCCAAGCAAGTTCCATGAATTGAAATTGAAAGCCTGTGCCTTTGTTGCCTTTCTCCTACACAGGCAGGCGTGCGATCCAATATGCATTCCTCAGAGAAGGTGCAGGTGAAGAAGGAGCTGAAGGTCAAGAAGGAAGAGCCAGAAGAGCCCACGACCTCGCCCTCGCCCAAGAAGCCGACAAGGAGAACCGAGCGGCACGTTGAGAAGGACATCGCCTACTACAGCAAGCTACCCAGCTGCAGAAAGATGACAAAGAAAAGCAATGAAAAGCAACGCCTGCAGTTGCTCAGTTGCTTGGTTGTGGTGAGCTAGGACTTTGCACGTGCAATTTCGATTCCACCAAGGTGTACTGAACTGCTCATACCGAAGAAGTCTTTCGGCAAAGTGGTGCGCGGGATCATGGGCAGCCTCTTTCCCAAGAAGACATTCCGCTTCTCTCAGGAGGCCCTCGATTGCCTTCAGACCACAGCTGAGGCGGGCGACGGGCGAGACAGAGATTCCTTTGCAGTAGCATTGCTTCTTGAAGAGCTTTGGGGGTTGAAGCGGTTCCTCTCAGGCTTTGGCCGTCGAATTTCTCCAGGCTCGTGATGTGGTGACGACGCCCGCGGCGTCCTCGTCCCCGGGGTCGGTGAAGGCAAAATTCAACAAACTGAGAAGATGTTTCACACCAGCACTGTCACAGGTGCTGAACTCACCAGCCCGAGCAAAGCATGCACAGAAGGATGAGCTCCATGTTGATATTCCAAAGACGAGATGCAGGGGCAAGAAGCAGCACGTTCGATGAATGAGGAGCAATGCAGGAGCAGCAGCCTGTGTTAAATTATCATGGTTGAATACCTGATTTCTTCGTGACTCGTTACCTGATTGCTGAGTGCTGTCCTGCGATCTTGACTTGGCTTGGGCAAAGGAACAGCCATGGCATGAAAGCCGTTGGCTGCTTGTTTTATCTCGGTGAGGGGGCAACTGAGGAAGTCTCAGTCTGGGGCAGGGGTGGCTCGTCAGCCGCAAAACAGAAGTGACATCCCTTGATTATGAGGGTTTTTCGTCCATGCCTCTCCCCGAACGAACATCCCCACTCTGTTGAGCGACACCAGTGCCATACTGGAGACTCTAGATAGAAATGAAGAGAATCGAAGCAATCGTGAAATGTCTTGGGTTCAAGTCTGAGACTGGCCTTGCGCCCTCCAGCCTCATCCTGGACCTCCTTCCTGGGACTTGGCAATCGGAGCATCAAAGTCAGAGGTCACCATGTCCTTCCATTTGGCCATTGGAATGAAAAAATGGTCTCAACATGAGAAGCGCGTGAAGCAAGGGAACCTGGCCAATCTTGGTACGGGTCTCCACTTGTACCCGAACGAGATGAGCGCTCTCTCAGCCACTTTGATGTGAAGTCTCCCAGTGAAGTGAATTCTGTTGTCCATTGTCCATGTGCTCCACTCCAAACTGCTGACTGTTGACTGCTGCTTCCCTTCCATTGCTCATTTAAGGCCGGTAATTAAATTAGAGCTTGGGATTCAGGTTTCAGGTTGAACGCCTAGTCTCGGGTTGAACGCCTAGAAAATGGCGGTAGGTAGTAGGTAGGGGTGGACGCCGAGCCAATGGCGGTAGGCTCATTGCACCACCACCGCCACCGAGCCACTCAGGCTGAAGTAC